TGTCCTGGGAGAGTTAGACCTCAGTTGCCATTCCTAGCATAAATTCGACATTATCGCACCGGAAACCTCGACCATGTTCTTGACAATTGGTAGCTTAATCATAGAAACTTCTTAATACTTAAATAAACTGTTTTAAATCTGGTATCCCTCCTAATATTATCAAAGACGCGTGCAATATCTGAATAGAACAACCAACGTTCAGTAAGCAGTCTAGATAGCTCAAGAACTCGGTCACAGAGCCTCGACTAGACTCAAGACTATAAGTAGCTCAATTTCTGAAGTCCCTTAACATTTTTAAAAAAATGTTGTAAAGCCAAAGCTATGCAAATCTATTACACAAATTCACCAAAATAAAATGTAAAAGAAAAACTATGTTTTTTTTGTATGGGTCTCCAAAACTAAGTACAGAAAAAGAGCAGGCACAAAGGCCGGAACCTGTAATTTTTTTGCACAAATCAGGTCAATATTGACAAAAGTTAACCCCCCAAAAACAGCCAGGGGAAATTAAATGAAGCAAAGCATTTGTATATATTTGAAATCGATAATGAAGAAAAATCAAAGTAAGCTTCCGGACAGAAATCACCGATATGACTTGTATTTGCAGCTTGGGATGAAAGTTTCGATAATTAATTAAATGGTTTTTTGCACAATTTGTTAAGAATAAATGTTCCTGCACATTAAAATCTTCCTTTCTTTCGACACTTTTTTATCGTTTTAACAGATGTTCCAGTCTTGTTAAATTATCTTATATTTTGATAAAGTGTTTACAAGGGCGTATTACATTGGGCGGGGGTGTCAGTATCTAACACCAAACGTCTGTGACCAATACAGAGAAAGAGACAAAATTATGATAAAAAAGCTTGGATATAATTGCCATTAAGAACATAAAACATATTGAGTGTTTTGCCATCTGCATAGATTAAGTAGGTAAACGATAATTGAACGTTTTAAATTTTAATCTACATAAGAATACACGGAAAGTTGTCACTTAAATTGCTGTCCGGTTATAGGAGGATATTTCATGCATATTTACCATAAGTAGCCATAGAAAACCGTCCGGTTTTCGGAATTTAGATGTTCCGGTATTTAGAGGATATTTTGCAATGAACTTATAAAGTAAAACTAGTGGACTTTTTAAAATAGTCTGGTTTTCAGAGGATTCCGGTTTTCAGAGGGTCAGATTTTTAGAGGTTTTACTGCAGAATTTTTTTTTCTATCTGCAATACAAAACAATCAAAATGCAATGCAACTATTTGCATTATGAATTATGATAAAAATTGAAGAAACTTAAAAAATAAGCAAATGTTAATAATTATATCAAATTGGAAAAATAATATTGTATTGATCTTGATTTTGTGAGGGTAGCAAGGCGGGGGAGGTAAATTTATGCGAAGTGAGGTCCTCACACAAGCTTGCTAATATTAAGTAAACTCTAGTTATTGACCTGAAACCAAATTCGTCTATACTTAGTAAAAGTGACATTGATCACTACCCTACATAGCGTTACAGCAAACCAATTTGAGTTCGCAATATAAGCTCAATTCACAAATGTTTCGCTGAAATATCTTATAGCTAACTTTAGTTATTGAACGGAAACCAGTTTTCTATATTTAGTAAAGATGACCTTGACCTTGAACCAAGGGGGACCCTAAAGCAATCCCATCCAAGGTCTGATTTGAATTCTTAAAATCATTCATTGACCAATGTCCTGTTTTATGTAACATTGACCTTGACCATAAGGAGGCTCACAGATATCATATCAATACCTCAACAATAGCCAGGTAAACACAACTAAATAGAAAAATACATTTTAAAATATTTGAAATCGATAATGAAGGAAACTAAAAGTAAGCTTTACAGACAAATATCACCAAAATTGCTTGTATTTGTGGCTTGAGATAAATGTTTTGATAATTAACTATATTTTTTTAAATGATATTATGCACAAATTATGAAGAATAAAAGTTCCTGCATATATAAACCTTCCATTCGTTTGAGCTGAAATGGTATGGATTTTTAACATTACTGTTATCCACTTGTAATAAGTTATTTATGTTTGCTGAGCGTTATTGTACGAAACGTAATAATAACTATCTAAGTAGTAAATTAAAGATTGCAATGCTGCAACGGCACATTTAACCGATGAAAGATTCATTATATTTAATGTTTTTTCTTTTTGTTAAGAAAAGTATATAGCTTTGTACGGTTACAAACCAAGAACGCATGATGAAATTGAAATCAAGGCAGGACAGGTTGTGACAGTTAATAATAATTCACTTGGTGACTGTACAAATGAACTGGCCAAGAAATTATCTGCTCGCCGTCTTAAGTTAGAAAAGAGCTGTGTTGTGTACCCAATTTTCCAATTCACATTTAAATATTATTAAGTACATTTGTGAAAAAAGCTGAATTCCACCTATTCGTAAGCAATTTATAAATTTCAGTATTTATGTTGGGTAACAGACCTCTCGGAATAACAGATTAAGTCCAAAACTTTCTGAGTTGTTGTTTATGCCATCGAGGAAGACAGAGTTAAGTCCGGTCTAATTATCTTATTATTTTAGGTATATGAAATTTTATTATGTTTATTTAGTTATTGGCTATATAAATCATTTTCTGTATCAAGGGCTAATCTAACGTCTAATATTTGTGAACGATCGTGTTGACATGACTCATTAAGTGGTACCTCAGCTCTTCCTCCACATGAACAAGGGGAAATCGCCATACAATCTCGAAAGTTTATGTTTGAATTGAATTAAATCCCGATAAACAAATATACTATGTTTGATGTTTGTATTTTACTACACTTTATATAATGTCTTCATATAGTTGGATTTATAGTCGGATTGAGGATTATTATACCGATTCTCTTTTTCTGTTAAGGTAAAGAAAACAGTTAATAAAGCTGACCATTGCCGCAAGATATGTCTGACTACTATATGGCCGTAAGCCATAAAAAGCAGCCAAATAAATAATTGTATCATGTATTGCAAAACATATTAACATAGGTGAATAAAAACATGCCGTCGATATTTCTAGTTGTATGGACATGAACATGTCACTAGACGATCGTCTTGGTAAAGCATCTAAAGAAGTTTAATAAATGCAATGGAAACAAAGATTATTGGACATTATCTACATTTCAAAATTTGCAAGCTACTAATTGTGGAAGTAAACATTCTTAAAGAAAATTTATTAAATGGTCAGTGTGCCTAAGAAATACTTTTTAAATGATTAAAACCCTTTTACTTCTCCTGCTGTTAGTATTTTGTATGGAAGTTAAAATAATTCTTTCATTACATTTTGCTTCTTTATTAAAAAAAGTTTCAAATTTTATGCTACTGTCTTCAGATAACAAGCATCTAACATGCTGTTCAATCATTATTTAAATGTTCTAAATTTATGTTTGCCTTTTATCAAGAATTAAACATTCAATAATTTCTGAGGCATAATGTGTCTTTAAATGCAAAATCTTTCAAATTTAATCTTTGAAATTCTAAAGATTTCAGGTGTTTACAGTCTTAAAACCTTCAGTTTTACATGGGTAAAACATGTTATATACTATGCAGATTAGTTTTAACTTGTTTCCTCTTCTTTGTATTTGTTCATATTCTATAATATGACTGGTTGTGTTTTTTTTATTTTGATAAAAATATGTTTGTTATATTTTGATAAACACATTATTACCTTTTAATTCATTATTCATTTTGGAGATGCATTGTTATAGAATTTAATAATTTTGTATTTGGACAACTTTTTGTAATTTCATTTTTTGGAACTAAATGATTGAAATGATATGTAATAATGTTAATTACATAGTTAGAATACCAAGACTTAGATTTTATTCGCATCTTTAGTAGCACAAGTTAAAATGCACCAACTCTCATGTAAATTAATTTTCAATTCGTAAAACTTTGCTAAATTTACTTTAAATATCACATAAAAAGGTTTCTGATTTAAATACGTCGGTAAGTATTCTATGAGTGTTAGTTAAAATATGATTCATTTCCATAAATTGATTAATAACTTAAAAATTTGAAAGACACTCAGTTCATACATCTTTTGTTTATACGGTTATTAAATAGACAGAATAAAAAAACTTGGTGTTTGTTAATTTATTATAATGGTCAAAACCAAAATCACGATAGAACAAAGTGAAGCAAAGCCTACATATAGAAAGTAGCATTCAAATAAAGAGGAAGGTTGTGATATCATTGCAGCCTGTCGCCTCGGGAGTTGGCCTCCCTTGTAACACAAAGTAAATAGACACATCTTAAACTGATTCTTTTAAGTGACCACAGCCACTTGTATAAACAAGAAACAATTCTTATCATTGCCTCTTATTTTCGGGTATAACTTGGTTAGTTTCATATTTTCTCTTACAAACTAGACATTTTTTCTGTTTCCTTTTCATCAACAATAGGATCTTCTGGTCTCACTTTATTGTTTGTCTTTTAATTTTTTTAACATTTTACAATTATTTGAATCTGTCCCGTGTCGTCAAATTTTAAGTATTCATCTTTTTCTTTTCACAAACAATGCGGATTTATGATAATATATACATTATACATTATTTAAAGACATTTTTACCTTCCACAGGCAGTGGGAACAGTTACGTGTGTTATTGTTTTAGTCTTTTCTTTTGATGGACATTGGGGTTAATTTTCCGAACCTTGCTTTATTGTTTTTTACGGACAACGGAATCTGTTCTGTGTGATGTGATCTGTATTTATTTTTAGATTATTTTTCATTTCACGGACATTGTAGATAATCTCTTGACTTTCCGACATATTTGTTATGCAACCCAATCGAGTTCACGGATAGATATAAACATACACCGTACAAATCACCATCTAAATCTTCAACATCTATGATGTTACTTAATTTATTAAGTATTATTTCATTGTACTTACTCAGTCAATATCCCAATTTATAACATTTTCCACTGCATAATAGAATATTGCCACGTCATATACAAACAACTGATAGTAGTTTTCTTATCTTACTGACCCTAATTCAGTCAATTGACTGATATATACTTAATATCAGATAAGGGAATAATCAGTCATTCAAGTATGTTCTCTTATACTATTTTATTTGGGATAGGAACTTTTATAACAGGTAAATTATGCTGCTTTACCTTTTGGTAATAATGCCATAATTGATTCCGATTTGAAATAAATACACGGTTTATTTAAAAAATAATATTGGTCTTAGCGGTGTTTATCGGCTATTTTACACCGGTTTTGGAGTTTTGATGCGTATGAATTGATAACAAAAACCGTAGGCATTAGTGGTTAAATTTTTCGCATCAAAACGAAAAAACCGGTTTGAATAGCCGATAAACACCGTTAAGACCGCTTTTATTTCGATTCTGACACGATTAAATAATGAAGATAACTTATGTTATTTTTTCAAGCTTATATAACTTCCGGTGCCGATTTTCGTATGACGCTCGTCGATTTTCGCTCTCTTCTGTTGCTAAGATATAGAAATTGTATGATATATGCATAATTCGAAAACAATAAAATTGTAGAAAAATGGGTATTTTTTAATCAAGTCATTTCAAATAAAAAACATTATGCCTCAGTACCATCCAAAACCCTGATCTATTACTTAAAAGAAGTCAACTTGTATACTAAGATTTAACTAACTCGCTAAAACCAATTCATTCATTATACACGGAAAGTGTTTGGCGCGGTATGACCAGTTATGTGTCAATGTTGCCTTTAAACGGGAGCAAACAAACGGAATTTGTTTCTATATTGATATACATATCAACAGTGGAGAGCGCAACTATCAGGACGAATATTTTTCAGTTTGTGATAACGGCCCTTGTACTTTAAACGTTATCAATCATCAAATTTTGGATAAGGAAAAACATGCAACGAACATGCAACGAAAGAACTACAAAATAAAACAAAAGCTGCATTTTACGTTTTGTCTGTTTTATTTAGCCTAAGGGATATATCAATTTTAATTTACATGTACGAGCCTATGTATGACCAAGTGTATGCACTTTTATCAAGCTGTCTTGCCAAAGGATGAGTATAAGTAATAAATACTTGTATATTCTGCAAATTCTTGATGTAATTAGTCAAATAGTTGGGAATTAAATGTAGTATACAATATTAATTAAATCTACCGTCGTTAAAAATAGTTAAGTTTGACAATGATTGTAAGCTGAAACAAATGAATCAGTTACTTATCTCACTGATCACATTTTCTCATTTTTAAATGATAACAGTGACGCCATATTTCTTAATCTTAATGTTATGATATGTATGCTATAATATTTACTTGTTATAACTTGAATATTTCTGTCACAATTTATTTTTTATTGTATAACTTTCTTTTTCATTAGTGTGTTCGTGCTGCTGCCAGAATGGCTGGACACGTTTCAATGATTCTTGCTACCTAATTGGTTACGGACACAATGTGACATTTATCGAAGCTGAGGTAAATACGACGCTTTGATACTCTTCAAAAAAAAATTAACATGTGCATGTATATCAATAGGTAAAAATCGTACAAAAATAAAAAGGAATAAAAAAGAACAATCAAAGAAAAAAACGGTCAGCTCTCAAGTCTGAAATCGCACATTATGATTTATTTCCATCTAGCTTTGGATTTCCACCTTGTTCGAGAACGTGTTGTAGTTAGTAGGCTATAATTATGCTATTTCGAGCTTGCTTAAAATTTCGAGCCAGCCGATCGATCGATATTTTTGCAATAGACAAATATCGTGCAAGTAACAGACTCACAAACAGTTATTCAAAATTCACTTAACCAATGATTATTTGGGTAAAATTGAAATCAGAGCCAGTTCAGAGATAGACATTCAATTTAAAAAGCATATATCGTACAAGCATTGCATCCATAGTCAACTGTAAGATATATATGCAAGCAAATCTTATCCTGAGCCAGCTATGAGATTAATTTTCAAAAAAAATTAAAGGAGCGAATATCGAGCTGGTTCGAATTCTTTTTTTTTTTTTGAAAATTTGGGGTTAATTTTGTGCTTGCATCAAACTCGGCGTAAAAAGTAAATTACTAGACTGATTTTCAAAAAAAAATTATAAAAAGGACAACAAAAAGAAGCTTACATAGAACTCAGAACTTGTTGTTAGATTTTTTTCCAGTTTCATTTTTTTGTTGTTGTGAAAGCGAATATTATACATTGATATTCAAAATGTACTAGTATCGAACGAGCGAAAAAAGTGTTTTTGCCTGTAATTCAGAGCTAGGTCTGAGATCTAAATTGAAATCATTTATAGCAAATTCCATTTAATAACTTTAATATAAAATAACATTTCATTGGCATCAGTGGTAATGCACGGAGGCAAATTATCAACACTTTGTGCTTTTTAACATGTCCGGGGTTGCGTACTCGAAAGCGAAAGCTGCATCTTGTGCCCGTGCGGGCGGATAAACCCTCACTTAGCAATGACTATAGATAGATAAATCGCATCATTGGTAACAGCAAAAACTTTGATCTGGGATTTGAACATGAGGTGTAGTGTTTTCTTTTTATGAATGGTTTTAAAGCAATTCAGCAAAAAAGGTATAATGATCTCCCAATAAATCATTTAACAATAGCTTTTAATATGTCATCGATGTCAAGTAGCTTTTATATCTTTGACTCACAAGAACATGATGTCATTGAAAATTTAATTTTCGTACTCTAAATTTGCTTTTATTGACGTTCTTTCGGGGTTACTTTTTCTCTATGCTTGTGTTGAATATCGAGCGCTCTGAAAATAAAAATTGAATATCAGTCTCAGACCCATCTCTTAATTTTCTTAACATTCTGAAATGTTTGAAATGAAATGAATTTTTTTTAAATTGTATGAAATTTTTATAATTCAGACTCGTGTATTGCATAACTATGTTCCTTTTTGTATCTACAATCATGTAATATGTTTTCTTTTGCCGAACTGAAATATTGCTCTTTACTTTACTGCCAAGAAATGTTAATAAGAATTTTAGGTTATTCATGTTTCTTTGCAGAATTTCTGCAGGCAACACAATGGGCATCTTATCCATGTGAATACTGCAGAGGAAAACCTTTTTATCGTTGACATCCTACAGAAAACTAAAGGTAAGGGTTGGTTTAAATTCTAATTTTTGATTACGTTGCAGGAAATCGTAGTAATGAACTTAATGAGAAATTTCTAGAAAAAATATATTCCAATAGTTACACCGTCTGAACCCTAGGTAACTGATTCTGCTGGCTAACACAATTCAAATAAAGTTAATACGTAACGAGTAAGCATGTGTTATCGGCGATGATTTGTTACTGTTACAATGGCAAGTCGGTATAAATATATTATTGAATAAAATACGTAGATAGATAAATAAATAAACAAACAGATCAATGAATATGTAGATGGGTTGATATCACCGTTCAAAGCCATTGAGGACAAAGAATAAAAGAAGATTTGACACTTTTCAAAAATCAACCAGATTTCTTTTTCTCTATTTCTAAAGCTTATCACAGCTGGGTTGGAATATCAGACATGGATGTAGAGGGGATATGGCAGTGGTAATTAATTTCTCTATGTCACACAATCATGTGTTTGGAGGATGTTAAATAAGTGTATGAATGTGTTGAATGAACCTGTATAATGCGAGTTTCTCAATGAGTTCAATAAATGTTGTAATGAAGCTACACTACAAAACATTATAAAACATTCTAACACGACCCGCATTTTTGCCTATTGAACATAGAAAAACCGAAAGTGTGTGTTATTATGCTATAAAATTACTGTTTGACGTTCTATATTTAGACATGTGACGTAATCATTATACACGTAACGTAACCACTAAAAATGTGACGCGCTGACAAAAAGTACGGACACAAATCAGGCTCAATTTAGCTAATTATCATGTACGGGCAGCATTTATTTGTTGATGTCGTGTTAGAATCGAAATAATAGATCCAAATCGGTGATTTTATTGCTTGATAACATCACTGTTTGTCGTTCGGATGTGCATCATTATATCACTCGGGCTACGCCCTCGTGATATAATTCCCCGCATCCGAACTCCAAACAGTGATGTTATAGAGCAATAAAATCACAGTTTGGGATATATTATTTCTTTATTATCACATACTATAAAAATACTTAGGTTTACTATTATGTTTTTTCTTCTTTCATTGACACGTACATGCTTACGCTTTAACGAGTGTTTAAAACACAGGTGTGTAATACATTAAAATTGTCAAAACGTTATTGTCTTTTACGTTTCATTTGATTCTAATAATTATTGTTTTAATTTCGGTTTTGAATACAAGTATAATATTATTTTCTGTACTCATCAGAAACCTCTTTAAAGGGACTTCAGTTGTTCTACTCGGGTGCGCATTAGTGCTTGATATAATTAATTTGACTATAAGTATGGACAAAAGCATTTAAATTTTTCAAAACATATTTCAATGTTAGTACTGACTGAATGGCGAATAGTGCAGACATTGCTCAGACGGCAAGTTTGAACCGGCTGATCTTGGTCTGCACTGGTTGCATGGATATAGTCAATTGTCAACAGCAGTTTTAGAGCTTTTAACAGGTACGACACGTCACAGAAACCAGATTTTACCTACTGGTACCCAGGGGAGCCAAATGGAGGTCAACCTGAAGACTGTGGGGTTTATGCTGTCCACCATGACTATAAATGGAGTGATTATCCATGTGATAGCCACTTGCATCCAATCTGTGAAACAAGGTAAACTGTTCAAAGCAGATGAAGGTTGTGTGACAGTCATTAGAATTGTTTTTACACTTTGTTTTTCGTTTTACCATTTTAAGTTGAATGATATTTGATTACACAAAAACATATCGTTCTTTTTGCCTATATAAAAGCACTAATATTGTGCAAAAAATGTGTAAAATAATGATATTTTAGACAAAAATGCGCTGGTCAACACACTTTAAAGATGTGGACGATATGCGTGGATGCATTTGATTAATAATGAATACGTGTATTGTTATTTTATCAGAATAATATGGAGGCTATTCGTTGCCAAAAATCCAGCCGTTGAAACTTGACAATGCATACTTCGGTTCTACTAAACAGATTAGTAAAAATCTAATTGTCGATCCGAGAGTTACATACTGCACTGGTATTTAGCATTTTGTTTATCTCGATTTGAGAAAATGGAAGCTATAAAAATGCAACTTAGACAAACTTCAAACTTGCGACATGTAGAAATGTAGCCGATAGAACGTACACAATACGTTTTATGCTGTGTATCATGACGTTGAGAATGTAACTGCATCAACTTTACACACTCAGGTTTACAACAACACCCTTTCCTTTTACATTCTAACGCGATTAACATTTGTAAACGATTTCGCAACAACCATATACAATGTATGGAATTGTCACGATAATATACGAAAATTAATAGGCGGAGCCAATTTTCACGAAAGTAGAATATAAAGAGAGGTAACTCTTGCTGGTACAAAAAATATTTCAAATAATATAGAAACTGTTTTAAATTTCACATACTTGTACATCAACAGCATAACAGTTGACTTCGAATATCCTCTGATTTTATTAAAACGTATTCTAGTACAGGATTTCCAAGTAATGCAAAATTTGATAAGATATAATATAACAATGTAACAACATTTATACTGATAATGAGCATAATAATATGTTGCTAAAGTTGGTGTATTAACATAAGGGAATGTTTCCTATATATAATGACACACATCACTGTTCTTTTATATAAAAGATATGGTTTGTGTGCCTTCAAACGTTACACGGTATTACTCGTACGCATATTTTTTACATTCAGCAAATAGTATTAGAATGCTATACATAGAAGTCACTTTTGGCAACACGAATAAAGAGAACTGGACAGTAAGCTTGTGACTTCTTTCTTTAAGGGACTATGTTGGGTTGTAGAAAAAAAAACATATTTTTACAAAGTTTATAACTACGAAATAATTCAAAGTTTATTATCGATAATTTCGTTGTAAAACCAAAACGTTGTGAATTTGTCCCAATTTAATGTTGAAATTAATATACAATGTATCCTAGCATATCTGTTTACCTCCATTGGGAGGTATTGTGAGTCATAGGATGTTTTTAGCCCTTTATTATTAAATATATGTAAGCTGGCGTAGGTTAAGGTCTTTTAATGCATTGTACTGAATCAATAGCAATTCTAAAATATGCGTATGCATGCTGTAAATAGCGGTTACCTAGACTTGCTGTCTATCTGATCAAAAGCAGAGAACTATTTTTATGTACATAATATTTATTAAGTTTTGTAAGTGATGGCTTTCTAAGAGATAAAATAAACAAAGTATACATAATTTGATAATCAACATACATACCTTTGGACTCATTTAAATGTGATTATTGAAAAACAAAATGGTTAAAAATGGGAAAATGTATCTATACAGTATGGTAAAAATAAAAAGTTATGTACGAAAGGGTACATACAACTTTGGTTATAACTTTACGATTGTTAAAAGTTTTTTCTTGTCAAGTCATACGCTAGAATTGAGGTTACTAATGTCATAGTAAATGCTACTTCTAGGAAAAACAGCAGCCATTATTTGGTCTGTATCAGTAATTAGTCGTATCGAAGCCTTTATCAGATTATCAGATGTGGACTTGAAAATTTGAAAGTGGTAAGGTAGCAGCTTAACTGTAAATGATACTCATTCCTATTCAAATTGGAATACCCTCAGTAAATTCTATTTGTCGTTGAATATAGCCTATCAATAGTTTTTTCTTCCTTGAAAAATATTTTAACCTCAGGCAGTAAGTAGTTGGGTGAGTTTTTTATTATTATTTTTTTTCAGTTTCTTTTTCTAGGAAATGTGGTATCGACAACGTTTTAAAACTTATATGCCTATAATCCTTTTAAAGTCCGCTAATGCTGATTGTATATAGGCATAGAATGGCAATCATGCAAGTGAATTATATTTGGTGAATAACTAAACACCTAAAATGTGTGGTAAACGGAAACTACGCCGCTTCTTGTCGCCGACGGTAAATACCGAAAATGAGCGGGTAAATACGTTTATTTACGATGATGTAGTGGGCGGGAAAATGTGCGGAGCTTATTTCATTTGATTGAAAAACGTGTAAAACTGGATTATGCTGATCCGAGTCATGATAGGTCGACAATGTAAAGCTAAGAATGTAACTTCTGTTTTGTCGGCGTATACACAAACAATGAGTATTCGAACACTTGGTATTGCTACTATCAGCATAACAGTTAATGTTTTGTCGTTTTACAAAATGTATTTTGTTGAAATGCATGTTTACAATGTTAAATCGGCATACTCAATCCAAAAATGCAACATTGGAGTTTACATACAAAGAAATACAAATATTATTGTATTTGTCCGTTAACAAACTGTTCAACTCAGATAAAAATGCTGGATTTTTGGCAACGAATAGCCTCCATAGAATAATACATAACTATTTCAATACAGTGAACTTAAATGATTTAATTTGTCCTAAATACATTTTATTTCGATAATGCTGTCATCAAATTGAATTGATTGATTTTTTATAAGTATTATTTACGTAAAAGGAAAATCAAAATAATTATTGATGTTCAGATAATGATTTCAATGTTCAGAATTTTGCACCTTAAAATTAAAATTCTAAAGTATTCACATTTTCTTGTGCTGCCAATTTTTATATTGATTTGAAATTGTCAAGAAAACTTAACAAGCTTTTGTAGGATCATGGTTCAGGGTTATATAAAATTGGTAAAAGGTTCTAAGCGGTTCGTTTTTTCGGAGCAATTTATGCTAGACAATTATAATTAAATAAGAAGTTAAATTTTAGTTTAAAAGTTAGTAACAAAATAGTATTTTTTTTATTTTTATTTCAGCACTGATGTTGTGGATTCAATTATCGGCAAATGAGAAAATGAATGTGAAATATAGCTGTATAACATAACTAATAAATATATGAATAAACAAGTTTTTTTTCGTTTTCCACATTTTATCTATGTCCTACTGTTTCGATTAATACGAATACCTGAAACTGTCTATTTTTTATAAACTGCCACCAATAGCATTTATGTTAACATTTATTTAAACGAGTCCTGTTCTGTAAGTTTAAATTTTTAAGTGTCATTTCAATTTATTTCAGTTGATATTGCCCTAAATATGACATTTGCACTGAATGAAATATTGTTGCGTCATATACATACAACAGATAATAGTTTTTTTTTATCTTACTGACCCTATTTCAGTCAAATAAGTTAATATTCTTCATACACGAGAAGAGAATAATCTGTCATTCAAGCATGTTCTCTTTAACTATTTTATTCGGAATAGGAACTTTTATAACAGGTAAATCATGCTGTTTAATTTTTTGGTAACAACACCATTATTGATTCCGATTTGAAAATAAATACACAGTATATTAATAAAGATTTTTTTAAGTTTATACATACTCCTTAATTTACGGACAGTATCAACACTTTTGTAAGATAACTTTGAAACATCGACACTAAAAACTTGCTTGGAGAGGTCATATAATGAATCCAATGATATATTGGTAAATTTTGCTATCCTTTTCAAAAAGAATGTCGTTAAATACAAATGAATTAACAGTGTCGAGTTGAATTGTTTATGCAATTCTCACAGAACATTGACTTTCAAAACGAAACCTGCAATGTCTGATACATGCATTGTCTGATAACATTTTAGCAAAATACAAAGTTTTTAATCCGGTCAATTCAATTATTAAACTTCTCGTCTCAGTCCATATATGTCTTAAAAAAGTAAACTTGTATCACTTTGTTTCCAGATTTTTTATACTTCACAACAGCAGGTGTCGAGTGCCGTGCAACTGCTGTAAAAAGTTGCCGCGTACTTCACTCCAGTGTTGTTATATTTTCTGGTCCTTCGGGGTCATTGATACCTCTCTATTCAGTGTTAAGAATTGAGTACTGCTCAATCCGGTACTAGGGGCGGCGTGAGGGATGTTGCATATGTTCATTATCCCTCATGTACAGACTTAATCTGCATTTCTTGTCTAATTTTGTTGTGATTAATGCTTCCGAGGGATCACATTGTTTCCAAGTTTAACTAAATCGCTTGAACCAACTCATTTAAGACATTCTTATTATAGTGTTCTTCTCGGTATGAGCAGTAATGTGTCAGTGTCGCCGGTTAACCCAAGCAAAAAATAACGATTTATTTTTCTTATACATCTACACAGGGGATCGCAACTATAGTTGAAGTTATAATCGATGATCTGGTAAACTTTTAAATTTTCGATAACTTAAAGGACAAAAATGCGACCAAAAAACTACAAAAAAAAAAAGCGTATAGTTAAACGGACGTTGCGTCATTTGTCATTTTATAAACGTCAATTTTTTCTGAAGAAGACTAAACGTCGAAAGCTTAAGAAAAGCGTTTGTTTTTATTGAACTGATTATATATTATTACTTTTGAACAAGAAAACAAATGTATCCACGTTATGGATCCGCAATTTAAATTGGAACGTTTAGCCGAAAAACAAATGAAATGCGGGCTTCACGCAAGATTTTTGGAAAGTTGTGTAGCTAATGATGTCATACCAAAAGGTTTAAAACTTAAATTGAAAGTTCACATCGGAAATGATTCTGGAGAATTTCAAGCTTCAATTGATCGCCTATTGAATAAGGTATCTATAGAAATTATGGAGCGTATAAAAGATGAGCAGAGACGACAAGTTAAAAAGTATGGTAAGGAAATTGAGGAGAAACGACAAATTGTGAAAACAGCGATTTCTGAGGAAGATCTTTTTGAAATAGAAAGGACCATTTCCGTAACTACTGAACAGAAAAAAGATATTTTAGCAGTTAAACACAGTAAAAATTAAAAGGTTTAATGGATCGGAAAGACACCAATATTTTTTATTCAACGGCCAGCGGTATGCAACCTAATGAAGATCCCTTAAGTGGCTCTACGATAACAGAGCGCCAATCTATGATGAAAAGGTCTACTGCTAAGGCGAGGGCACCAAACACTAAAGTGAAACGAAACGGAAATAAAAAAACGAAAAGTTATTCCTCGAACACCGACACTTATCAGAAGACGAACATAGTAAACAATAAGATAGATATTCCTACGCACCAGAATGAAAGACAAAAAGACCAAGTTGAAAACCCAGAAAGCAGAAACTCTAAGGTTTTAAATGTAGAAAATTCAAAAAACTTCAAGCCCCCCAGGCACAAGAAAAACATATGCAGAGGCCACAAAACAGGGGGTATGCAGCGAAGATCTCCAACAAACTGTACAAAATCTAATGAAAATAGTGCAAGATTTGGTAAAAAGAACAGACGATTTATCCGAGCAACGAACAGAAACAAATGGAAAAAACAGAAGAGAAGGAAACAACAAATTTCGAAAGGTAAAGAAACAGTATTAAACATATCATCGAGAAAACTTACAGAAACTGATTATTTACTATTAAGTAAAGGCTTATCATTTTGTCCTAAATCGCGAAGTCATGACAAAATTAAGTTAGCTGAAAATTCGTTCAAATTTACTAGACGGCTTAGACTTAAAGAGTTTTTCGAAAGTGAGAATAATGAATCTACTGAAAATGAATATAAACAAGAACCTTTTTTCAATAAGAAACAATCTACTTTCACGCCACCTGCCGGGAGAGATACGTATTTGGATTTTTACATAGAAGCTGTGAATCAAGAGATCCTTAAGGCTGAACCAAAACGGAGGAATTATACGAATATTTCAAAACCGGAACTCGAATCATTGAAGAGTTTATCCAGCGATGAAAGTATAGAGGTAAAAAAGGCTGACAAATCAAGTACTATAGTGATAATGAACAAAGAAGATTATATTGCAGAGGTGAATAGACAACTTAATAATCCCCAGTATTATACTAAACTCGATCATGATCCGTCATCTTCAATTCATAGCAATATTTTAGAATGTATTGATGAATTAGGTAAGGTTAACGTGAATATTTTAGATGAATTTGACATTTTTCCGGTAGATGTACGTACTCCCGGCTTTTATATCCTTCCTAAAATTCATAAGCAATATAGTGAATTGTACCCTTTAGGTTATCCTGGACGCCCGATCGTTTCCGGTTGTAAATCAAGAACAGAAAATATTTCTAAGTACCTAGATTCCATTTTAAAGCCATTAACACATAATCTACCTTCGTATATCCGGGACACTTCTGATTTATTGCCAAACTAAAAACCACCTCTCTTGGGTCGGGAGAACATTACCTTGTTACGTTAGATGTTACATCTCTATATACAAACATTCCCCATACAGACGGAGTAGAATCTTGCAGACATTTTTTAGAGAGAAATCCCCCCAAAAAACCTTTCATGTAATGAAATATGTAAACTTCTTTCCTTAGTCCTAGAAAATAATAACTTTCAGTTCAACGGTGATCATAATATACAAAAAATGGGAACAGCAATGGGAAGTTCTATGGCACCCTCTTACGCTTCGCTTTTTATGGGTAAATTTGAAAATGACTTTTTAAGCCAACGTTCTTTAAAACCTAGTTTATGGTTCCGTTTTCTTGATGATATATTTTGTATATGGAGTTATTCCCTTGATGATTTGAATGCTTTCATTGATAGTTTGAATAACTTTCATCCATCTATAAAATTTACAGCGAACGTTTCTAAATCTCTCGTATCATTTTTAGATGTAAACGTTTCATTAGACGAAAACAATATTATTCACACTGATATACATGTTAAAGAGACAGACAATCATCAGTATTTAGAATACTCTTCCTGTCACCCAGTGTCTTGTAAAAATGGTATTCCGTACAGTCAAGGAAAACGTTATCGCCGTATCATTTCTGACGATAATGTTTTCAACGTTTCTTTACAGAATTTACGTACATACTTCAAAGCAAGAAATTATCCTATCAATGTTATTGATAACGCACTAAGTAAGGTTTCATGTCTAACACAGGATGAGGCCCTGTGTACTAACAACAAAACAAGTGATGGCAGTGTTATTCCCTTTGTTGTTGAGTATAACCCAACTTTACCTAATATTAGTAATATAATTAAAAAGTATTGGGATTTACTTAAACTTTCAAGTAAATGTTCTGTGCAAAAGCTTCATGAAAGTAAACCTTTGGTTGCATTTAAAAGACCTAAAAATCTAAAAGACATTCTCGTTAATTCTAATATTAGGTTCAATAACAAAAATGCGAAAAGTTCATCCAAATGTAATAGAAGTAGATGTACACATTGCAGCTCCATTATTGAAAGCAATATATTTAGTAGTACTAATATTCCTGGTAAGAATTATCATGTAAATAACAATACTGATTGTTCTACGAAAAATGTTATATATCTTGTCACTTGTGATTAATGTAAAGAGCAATATGTTGGTCAAACGAAGCAACAAGTGTCTAAACGCATGAATAGCCATAGGTTTGATATCAACAATTTTTCCGATCCGTTATTTTCGACCAATGTCGCTACACACTTTAATAAAACCAATCATTGTATTAAGGATTTTAAATTTATGCCTATAGAGATTGTCACCGATGATATGGAACGCTTATTACAAGAATCATACTGGATTCATAAGCTTAACACATTATCTCCTAATGGTATGAATGCAAAAGTTTTGTACAATATATAACTTTGTCATTATTGAGCCGGTATACATATACATGTAGTATGTTTTTTCTCATATCAAGGTTTTTTATTATTATTAATTATGAGAATTTTTGTATCACATGTGCAGATCCATATTATATGTGTAATTTATTGTATATTGCTGTATTTATATTCATGAAAGATTCTGTATTTATTGGACAAAGTTTTTATTCCCGCGTTAACGTCACGTTCTGTTTAGCGTATAGTTAAACGGACGTTGCGTCATTTGTCATTTTATAAACGTCAATTTTTTCTGAAGAAGACTAAACGTCGAAAGCTTAAGAAAAGCGTTTGTTTTTATTGAACTGATTATATACCAAAAAACTACAAAAGACAACAAAGGTTTCTCGTCTTGTCTGTTTTGAGGGATATATCAATTTTAATGTGCATGTAAATACAGCAAAATGTATACATTTTTATCAAGATATCTTGCGCAAGGATGACTATTAGTAATAAATATTAGTATACTCAGCAAATAGTTGATATAAATAGTTAAATAATTGAGAATCAAATGTAGTAAATAATATTAACTGAATCTACCTTCGTTGTAAAATAGTTAAAACAGTGTGAAATAAAGAATCCCCAAAGAAAGCCCAACAAGACAAAAAATGAAAATGTGGCAGGCTAGCTTTGATTGAGCCTGGTCATGGAGGGTAATGGAAAAAGCAAGTTACCGTCCACGCCCCCTAGCACCGACTTTAGCAGAATTCAACATTCAACATAACTGTTCCAATTTTGAATTTTGAAACATCTGCAGATGTGTTCATATGGCGGTTATCATGGAAACTTCAATGTGAAACGTAAGTGCCATTCCATGAAAAGCGGCATATGGTCCTCAAGTAAAAAAATGCCTGTGCCTTAAACGAGAAAACGATGGGCGGAACTAAAGTAAACGGAATTTTGAAAGGGGATCTGAGGTTATGAAGCCTGTATATCACAGATATAACGTCAAAAGACAAATTTAAAAAGCAACCCACATATAAGTTTGGTGGTGATTGTAATCTGAATCAAATGAATCAGTAACTTATCCTACTAATCACATTTTGTCAATTTTACATGATAACACTGACGTAATTTTCTGAATTTCAATGTTATGATATATATGCTATAATATTTTCTTGAAATAACTTTAATGCATATTTCTGTCACTTTCTTTTTCATAAGTCTGCACGTGCTTATGCCAGAATGGCTGGACACGTTTCAATGATTCTTGCTACCTAATCGGTTACGGACAGCATTTATCTTTTATCAAAGCTGAGGTAATCTTAACGATTTGATACTCTACTCTTCAAATAAATTAGCACATACATGTTTGACAATAGTTCAAAATCTAACAAAATACAAATTAAAAAATGTATTAGCTCTTGGAGGTCAGTTATCTTTCAGATCTGAAATTGCGCATAATATATTTCATTCAAGCTTTTGACTTCCATGTAGTACTGAGATCGTCATATTTTAATTATTTTGAGCTTGCTTTGAATTTGTATAGCGAATATTTATTGAGCATCAAAGTCACAATCAGCTCTGAAATCTATATTCAAATTCACTTAACTAGCGAAGACCTAGATAAAATTGAGCTCTGAGCCATTCCTAAGATCGAAACGAGTATATTATTAATTTCAAAAAGCATCTATCGCACTAGCATTGAATGCAGAGCGAACTGTAGGCTAGATATGCAAGCAAATTACCTCATTAGCCAGAACTGAGATTGATATTCAAAATATATTAAATGAGCGGAACTCGGGCTGGTCACATATTTAGAGACAATTTAGATTTTAAAAAAAGGCAAATATCGTGCTTGGAACTAGTAAAAATCGTTTAAAATTATTGTTATTCAGTCATGTATTGCAACTGTATTCATTTTTTCATATGATATGTTTTCTTTTGCCTTTTTCAATTTACTGCCGAATCATGTAAGAACAGTATTATATATCATAATATTGATTATTATTATTATTATTATTATTCAAGCTTTTTTGCAGCATTATTGCAGGCAGCACAACGGGCATCTTATCCACGTGAACACTGCAGAGGGAAACCTTTTTATCGTTGATATCCTACAGAAAACTGGGGGTAAGGATTGGTAAAAATGTTATTTATTAATCATATCACTCTGATTAAATCCGCAGATAAGAATTTATTGAGAAATTTCTATTCTTTCATACATTCAAATGTATATGTATCACCATCGTCGCAACACACGGACACTGATTCCACTGGACTACATTAAAATAACGTCCCGAGTACCCTTGGGTTACCGACGATGATTTGTTACAGCTGCAGGGCGGTATAGAAAATTAATGAATAAAGTAGATACATAAATAAGCAAATAAATAGACAAATATGTTGATAGATTGATGCGACTGATCATAGACAGTGAGGACGGTGAATAAAGGAAATTTTTGCTGCTCAAAACGCTTCATTATATGATCTAAACATAGCTACAACCTCATTGGTACTAACAGTAGTCATAAAATCATATTCACTGGGTTAAGTGTTATATAAATAGATTAATACTCATTTTCACTAACCATGTATCGTAGACTGTGAGCATTAAACAATAAATGTAAGGTTTTGTTCTTAATGACATATTTTTCGATTCAAATATCATTTCTTTACTTTAATAGTTAAACAGCAATGATGAATATAAGCTTGAATTACTTTGTGTATGGAAACCAACATATTACCAAATGTCTCCGACTATAGCCAGACTGGTTCCCATATTCAAAGCGCGGCGCATTTGAATTCGACAAAGCTTGGAGTCACGTTTGGATTTGTCGAAATATTTTGTAAATGGGGTAAAACGGCAATAGTTTTGATGTTAATTTCGTCTGTTGTGTTGTTTTTATGAAATACTAAGTTTTAAACTGACCATAATCGTGGAAAATTATATGCAATATGTCGATAGACAAAAGGATTATGTGAAAATATTGTAAATGGAATGAAATACAAGGTGATTTTGATCGAAGGTGTGCGGAATTTTTTTCCGGGACACATTTGTATCTTGTGTATTATTATACAAGTAATGATGAAATATGATTTTTTTTTCAAAAAAACTTATACATTGTATTAAGATTTTTTGACATATATGATAAGTATATGTGCTGGGATAGACAAACTTACATTCTATTTGGATTTTAATGCTATTGGCGCGGCAGATCTAGACCCCAAGTGTTTATGAATACTTGTCTCATTTTCTCACGACCAATGTGTTATGCTTGTAGGCCGCTTAAGCCCCAGTCACATAAAACCCCAGTCACACTAGAGCTTACGATTACTTGCGACCACCGGCGACTTGTAAAACTGACGATCATCAGCGATTGTCTGCGACCAAAACCATTTTTGCACAATTTACTTTTGCGAGTATCGTAAAGCCCTAGTCACATTAGAGCTTACGACCAGTGAAGACCAGTTCACGATCACCAGTGACCTCTGATCGTACGATAATCGAAGAAGTAAATTTATCTGATCAAAGAGGGCTTGGTTGCAGACAATCACCGATGATCGTCGGTTTTACACGTCGCCGGTAGTCGCAAGTAATCGTAAGCTCTAGTGTGACTGGGGTTTTACACAACACTGCGGAACCTAAATAAAAATATGCAAATTACAAAAACACAGGTTGAAATTTTGTTATACTTTACTGAATAAGACATGTTCATACTACAATCACAAGATGCTAGCTACAAATGAATGACTTGAAACTGTTTCCAAGAATGTTGCGTGATCCTTTGAAATCAATAGCAAATCAATTACATTTACAGCCAAGTGTTCTTTGTATCAATGCAACAAAAACCAAATAATACTCCTGACAATTACATCCAAAGCATAACAAGTAGATAATGATGCAATTCTATTCACGCATGCGCAGTAATGGGTGTTCACTTCATAATTAAATTTAACTGCATTTTATTTGCTTTGTAGCCTGTTTTGACAGTTAAGAGAAACAACATCCCCTCGCTTTACATGGCGCCAGACAAAGTCACCATTTTATCGTACTTTTGCTTCGTGGGGCGCCAGACATAAACACGAAAATACAACAATGTCACCACTTTGTCGTATTCTCGTAAGTAGGAAAATCAGCAATCTCTTTCCTCGTAATATCACTTCAAATTTATTACTATGGACAGATTCTGGTATACATCAAATGTAAACTGTGGTACGAAATGATTTTAATTAAGATACAGTGAGGTGCTTTTCGTATCATTTGATATTTGTTAAATGTAAAAGACTTAGGAGAAAGGGACAACGTTGATACTGGATATGATTTTCAGATTTAATGGCAGTATATTATGAAAATATCTGAGTGTCTGAATACAACAAAAATAAAACAAACGCTGATATTATAAATGGGTGTTGTCTGAAACAAAATTTTAGAAACATAATACTAAAACTGAGGACTCTTCTTAATAAAAATGAATTGATGTACATGGATAACCACCTCAAAAATCAATCTTAGTTCTTTAATTTTATTCCAATAGCTTCTTACAGCTGGGTTGGAATATCTGACATGGATACAGAGGGATTATGGCAGTGGTAATTAATTAGGGAGACACAGGCAAAATTTTCATTTCTTAGTTTTGATTTTTTCATTAATTATTCTGTAAATGCCCTCAAAATGAATATATTAGACAGTCAAAGGAACAAAACTTTTCTCGCTATAAAGAATAAAATGGTGGTTTCCTAACTTGACCCGCGTGGGTCAGGTTAGAGCGCTAGGATTTCACAATAGTTTTCAAATTGAACTCTGAAAACGTTAAAGTTCATGTCAAATGAATGACTTAGACTTGTTTCAATCATACAATATCCACAATATCTAGTATTGTAACTTCAAGGGTTCGTTCAAGTCACGTGACTTGTTTTAAAACTATTTGGTTATTATATTCGGGTCTAAATTTTGTTCAACCTATATTTATATATTTACGCCTCAAACCTAAAATATATAGAATTTAAACAGAAATTCATGCTGAAACTTCAAAAAATGTCATTTGAGTGTGATTTGAGAACATAATATCATTTTAATATTTTTGTCATTATTTTGCCTAAATATCCCTTTAATGTATCACATGTATTTAGAGAATATTGAATGAGTGTATGCATGAATAAAATGAACTTGTATAATTCGAGTTACTCAATGAGGTCAATTATTTCTGTGCTATGAATATAATTCAACAAAAATATATATTTATCACAAACCATAAAAATGACCTGTTTACAGTTTTGTTGAAAACATTATTTCTTTCATTGACACCCTTACACTGAAACGTACATGTTTATACTTATCATGTCAGGTGTGCCATAAGTTGTTATTGTCAAGACGTTATATTTTTAAGCAATTTAAGCTTTATTACCTCTTTTTATTTGGTTGTGAATATTATATATTTTAAACGGTATATATTCTGAAATCACTTGAAGTATTTAAAAATATATATCTCTAATTATTGTATACTAAAAGCTTAAAACATAATTATGTTTTATTATATATGTTTGCGTGTACCTTATTTTATGAATAATCTATTCCTTACAAAGAGCGGAATAGTTACATCAGTTTACATTGATAATGTTTTTATTTTACTCACATTATAGTGTTCAAATATCCGACATTTCTATGTATGTGTATTGTTGTTGTTGTTTTAGGTTTGTTTGTTTGTTTTTGTTTACTTTTCATGCCATATTTCTCTTTACAGAGATATTAGAAAATGAATTAAAAATAATTAAAAACAATCTTCATTAAGTGCATAAAGTTGACTATGTATGCATATTATCTTTATTTTGATGTAAACTATGAAATAATACAACACTGCTATCACTGCTATCACTATAGATAAAGTCACTATCTTTACAGGCAGAGCGTCACTGATCAGTGGTGATACGTTTAAATGATTTCATTTCTGTCTAAACATTGACATACCTTATCATCGGTGTGGGATTTTACTTTGGAATTCTTTCATGTCAGAAAGCTAGACAGATAGATTACAAAATGTCGGTGGTTCTACTCAGGTGCCGTTAGTGCCTGAAAAATTACACGGAATGACACCTGATGTCATCCTCTACCAATGGTAAAGTTTGATGGAAGTAGTCAAATGACCTGTAAGTAACCATCCTCCCGCCACCTTAAAGCAACTCCACTGAGGTTAACAAGCCTAAAAACATAAAAATTGATTGTTTCACATAAATCAACACGAGCTATTAAAACACAAATATAAATAAAATATAACTAAGAAACATACAGGAAATACATTGAAAATCGTATATTTGTGTTATTCCCTGTCCGATTTGAGTGAAAACCGTTTTAACGCTTTTCAATTTTGGGTCATTTGTCACTCTTATAATTATTATTTTGGAAAAACGGAACGAGCTAATGATCTGAAATTTTGTACATAAGTTATTAGTATAGATCTACATCAAATGGAGTAATAACACCGTAGGGAACGTGTTACAGTATCGCGTTTTTCGGTTACAAAATAGAATTTTCAAGATGGAGGCTTCTTTGTTGGGAGGACAGGTAGGTGATTTTTATTCCGGTCCATGCTACAAGTAGTTTAGTTTCTAAAAGATGTTTTGTGCTTTGCTTGTAAGGAACAGAATCCGGTATCTAGTCATATAATTTTTCAGACTCTGCACCGCAGATTTATCTCTATATTGTCTCATAAATATGCAGATTTGACAGTTTGAGAATTTGAATCGAGAGACCAACGCATTTTTATCCAATTTTGTCATTATTTATGCATGCCTTGAAAAAGTAAATCTGCAAAACGTTAGTCAGTTGTGTTTAGAAACGTTTATAAAAGTAAATGACCAGTTGAACCTATTTTCTTGTTGGTAAAATGCGTTTTAAAAAATAAACAGTGTTACAGTATAGAGCGAGGTGATTTGTGCAGGGTTACAGCATAGACCTAGCGATTTTTATCCGATATTGTTACAGTTTATTCCCAGATTTCGGTTAGACTTCGATATTTTCTATATATACTAGGTAAAATGTATGAATGTTACATAGAATTTTAAATCTCTGTGAGCTTATTGACCCGATGGCTATTCGTCCGTCTGTCGTACACATGTGTGTGCAATCCCATCCGCTCAGTAGCTACTTGAGTAAATGTGATGAAATGCCCATGACTTTCTACCAATTAAGTTGTTCAAATGGTTTCGGTTGCAATCGGGGATACGAAAACCCAAAACATAGATTTAAAAAAAAAAGGCAATGTTTAAAGACCCTTCTCATCTCGAACCCAAAGCATTCAAATCAAATCATGATCATGGCGTCATTTCGAATGCTTCTTTGTTGAAGTTACGATTATTTTGTCATTATAACATTAAAAGTCGGTTTTTTTTATTTCAGACATCCTGTTTAGCAGTTTTCATGTTTCTTACAAAATATATTATGGTAGATGGAAATTCCAACTAAAATAAAATTTAAGATTGCAGTATTGCTCATCAAATACTGTTTAATCATTCTTAGGGTTTTGCCTGCTTGTCAATTGTGTCTTTTGACAGCTTATCTATGGTAAAAAGGCTTCATAACATCCGATCCCCTCTCAAAATTTCATTTTATTTAGTTTCACTCATTGTATTCTCGTTTAGGGCACACGCAATTTTTTACCCTGGGGGTAATATGCCGCTTTTCATAGAACGGCAATAATGTGTTACATTGAAGGTTCCATGATAACCGCCATATGAACACATCCACAGAAGTTAAAAAAAATCTAAAGTGTACCAGTTCATGTTTAATGTGAATTCTGCTGAAGCCGGTGCTAGGAGGCGTGGACGGTAGCTTGCAGTTACCACTACCGCCCATGAACTGGTTTAATGAAACTGACCATGCAACATTTTCATGTTTTCCGTGTTGGACTTCTGTTAAGGATTCTTTTTTTCTCTATTTAAGTACTAATAGGCATTTCTATTATGTGTAATGGAATCAAGCAAGAATCTTTCTTCTCTCAATACAATTCGATAAAAGTTACTGTTGTTGTCGTGAAAACAGTCCTTACTTAGGACTTTACTTATTCTGCAAAAAGTCTCAATCTGAAACTTAAAGTAAGAAAAATAGCAAACTATAACTTTTTCTGCTGAAGAAAAAAAGTAATACAACCTTTCAAGAATGTATTAAATAGAAAGGTATGAGTTATTTCATAAAAATAATGGATACACGAACTTTGATTGAAATTTTGCAAGTATCTTAACTGTAACCGAAATCTGGGTATAAACTGTAACAAAATTGGATCAAAGTCGCTAGGTCTATACTGTAACCCAGCAAAATTCACCTCGCTCTATACTGTAACATTGTTTATTTTTTATAACGCATTTTACCAACAAGAAAATAGGTTCAACTGGTACTTTATTTTTATAAACGTTTCTAAACACAAAGGACTAACGTTTTGTAGATTTACTTTATCTAGGCATGCTTTAATAATGTCGGAATGGGAGAAAAATGCGTTGGTCTCTCGATTCAAATTTTTACACCGTCAAATCTACACATTTATGAGACAATATAGAGATAAATCTGCTGTGAATCATGGTCTGAAGAATCATATGACTAGATACCGGATTCTGTTCCTTACAAGCAAAGCACAAAACATCTTTTAGAAACTTAACTACTAGTAGTATGGACCTGAATAAAAATCACCTACCTCTCTTCCCATAAATAATCCTCCATCTTGAAAATTCTATTTTGTAACCGAAAAACGCGATACTGTAACACGTTCCCTACGGTGAATAATCTCAAAAAAATATTTCCAGTCCCGTCATGTCAAAAAACCAAAACCAAAAAATATCAAAGTTATAACGGCAGAATGGCCAATAGTGCAGACCATGGTCTTCACTAGTCGCATGGGTTAATATTCAATCAAACCGAGTCTGCAACATTTTCAATTTTGCCGTGTTGGACTTTCTTAAGGGATTCTGTATTTATCTATTTTTTTTTAATATTCAATTGTCACCAGCAGTCATAGATTTATTGACAGGTACGGCACGTCACAGAAACCAGAGTTCACCTACTGGTCCCCAGGGGAACCAGGGGGAGGTCAGCCTGAAGACTGTGGGGTTTATACTGCCCATCATCCGGACTATAAATGGGATGATTACTCATGTGGCCGTCACTTTCAACAAGGTAACTTTTCGAAGCAAATGAAGGTTATGTGACAATCATTGCAACTATTCCACACTTTTTTTGTGCTTTGCCTTCTTATTAACATGTGAATTTTAAACATAATGTTCTTTATCCCAAAATAGATTCAGCAACATCATGCAAAATGAGTGAAATAATGATAAATGAGACATTACTGTGCTGGTCCACAAGCAAGTGGTTCTGTTTATTTGTTTGTTTTGTTTCTTTTTTGTTTTTTTGTCTTGTTTATGTGTGTGTGTGTGTGTGTGTGTGTGTGTGTGTGCGTGTGCGTGTGCGTGTGCGTGTGCGTGTGTGCATGCGTGCATGCGTGTGTGTGTATGTATGCGCGTGCGGTAGTGTGTGCGTGACGTGAATCCAGATAAACATTTTCATACTATATAGAATGTCTGAATACAATCAAATGAAATAGTTATATAATACCTATTTGCTTTTCTGTAAAAGTTTCAATTAAACTGACACACAGGCGTAGAGTCCAACTGAGATCAAATGCTAGTAGAATGCGAGCACATGTGTTCTCAAACTAGATTAAAAGTAACGAAAATAGTGTGTTTTTTTTTTTTTGGATGCTGAGATTTTGTACATATAAGAATAAGAAATAAGAATAAGAAAACTGATTGGTATCGCTCTGTTTTGCAATAATAAATAGACATAACTTTTAACATTACAAATATAATGTTTTATTTATGTCTCATATGTTATTTCATACCATGTAATTGATGTCAAGTTGATATGTGCAGAACGAATGCACACATTTATCATTTGTGCCAAGTTGTTTTAAAATCATTCCATGCATGACAAAGTTACAGTCCGGACATGAATGTGTATCTTCAAACTCTTCTCGAGAGAATGAGTTCCTTCAAACTGTAAATGTGACCTTGACCTTGAAGGTAAGGACATGGATCTTTGTCGTGACATGTCGTTTTGATTGGTAGACATTTATGCCTATATATATATATATATATATATATATATATATATATATATATATATATATATATATATATATATATATATATATATATATATATATATATATATATATATATAACTAGTTATTTTAAAATCCTTCGATGCATGACAAATTTACAGCCCGGACACAATTGTGTGTACCTATTAATTCTAATTGTGATAATGTGAAAATTCAAAATTTTAGTGTGACCTTGACCTTTGAGGTAGAGACGTTATTCTTGGACGCGTCACATCGTCTTGATGTGGTAGACATTTGTGCCAAGTTCTTTTTTTCAAAATCACTCAAGTTACAGTCCGGACACGAATGAAGTGGAGACGGACAGACGGAGCAATTATATTATGCTTCCCTTCGGGGGCATATAAATAGTCAAATCAATATCATACATTGCAGGAAATTTAACACAAATGACTATAAGTCGTAAATACGTTACAGATGATGTCACATGTATTTTGTTCAAACAACCCGCCACCTGCAGACATATTTTATATTGAATCGCATTTCATGCTAGGTTAACAGGTTTATTTACTGTTAATGGTTGTTATATATAGGGGAAATATATTTCTATATTTCAATAGTCTGTTAATTACATTGAAGAAAAAACTTCATATAGAAGTAGAATTAAGTTTAAAAAAATAAGCAAAAGGCAAATTACAATACATATATTATTAATTATTGTCATCCAAAGGGTAGGCAAACTAGAAAGAAGTTCGAAGTTGAAATCAAGGACTAACCAATGAAACCTATCATGCTATTTGGTAGCAGTAGTATAGGGGTCTCTTTAACGCCACGACTTCGCATGCGCGGCGCCATATTGGATTCTATTTTTAGAATGACATTATCGTTCTATTTTTAGAATGACATCATCTGTCTATTTTTAGAATGACATCATCGTTCTATTTTTAATCTTCCGGAAGTATACGGAGCTGACTTGTATACCCGATCTAGGGCGTGCATCGCGGACATTTATTCTTATCTTTTTATCTTATACATTTTCAAATAAGGTTATTAACATATTTATTTTAAGTATTTCTTAAATTTCTTACATTTAATAAAAATATTACCTCTTTACTCCTTAAGCTCCAGCAACGAAATGACTCCAATATTAAAAGTACTAACCCTTAATGCGCATGCTTGGATCTGATGACGTCACCAATGCAATGAAACAAGCTCCAACATGTTGCGCGTCTATTTATTTAAGGCCGACTGGGCGGACAATTCAAAGTAAACATGTCAAATTTGATCCTTTTAAAGTCGCCGCACTGTCTGGCGTGTGTTTATTTAGGGACGGATACATTAACAATGGTCTATTCAAGTGCCAAGGCTAGTATGTTTACATTATTTGGCGTGTGTTGATTTAAGAGCAGATGTGCGGACAAAAGGCTATTCAGGTGTCAAAATTAATCCATTCAGAATGTCAACAATGTCTGGCGTATGTTGATTTAAGAGCAGATGTGCGGACAATGGTCCATTCAACTGTTAAAATTAATCCCTTTAAAGTCGCCACGCTGTTTGGCGTGTGTTTATTTAGGGACGAATACTTTAACAAAGGTTCATTTAACTGTCAAAATTAATTCCTTTAAAGTCGTCGCAATGTTTGGCGTCTTGTTTATTTAGGGAAGAATACTTTAATAATGGTCTATTCATGTGCCAAGGCTAGCTTGTTTACATTATTTGGCATGTGTTGATTTAAGTTCGAAAGAGTTAACAAAGGTCCATTTAAGTGTTAAAATGAATCTCTTTAAAGTTGCCACTTGGTCTGGCGTATGTTTATTTAGGAACGGATATGCGGACAATGCTCCATTCAAAAGTTTATCCGTCTAAAGTAAAAGCGGGTTAGCAATAAGCTATTGAAGTGTCAGTTTACCACTGGGGCATAATTTTAAACTCATTTTGGAAAAGAAATGCCAACATGATTTTAAAACTGATCACCACATAAAAAAAAAACTTTTATCAATGGTCACTAAAACCGAACAAAAATACAACAGAAAAGGCGTTTTTCGTCTTTTGTGCAACATTTTACGATATACATTTTGATTTTTTTCGCATAAAATGGTAGACCTGACAGAATGCTTCGAAATAAACCCAAGGTTCTCGATTCGATTTTTAGGCGTTCTCGAGTTATGGCCCTTTATCGATTTTTAAACTATTTTTTCAAAGTCCATAAAACCCTTAGATTTATATGCCGTTTGAAAGATCTCTGCGAGTAGATACAGAAAATGTATTATTATATGGATCTATCTCTTACGTTTTTGAGATAGGAGAGTTTGAATATGGCAGACAAAATCACTCATGCATATAAATACGTATAACTTTTTTGTTACTGGACATAACATAGGCATGTTGCATATCAAACGAAAGGTCTTGACAATGCTACGAGCTCGTACTGTTAAACCGAGAGTGAAATCACTCATGCGTAAAAAACATTAAAATAACTAAAATAAGCTTACCCCAGTCTTTACTCCTCGCCTATTAAACTATTTATGACAATTTACGACAGGTTAAAACCGGTATTGCTATTTTTGATCAGCCAATGAAATTGAAAAACGATGACGTCTAACAATAGACAGCCTCGTTTTGAACCCACTCTTTTTCATTAACCAATGAAAAGTGGAGAAGGATAACTGGATAAATTTTGACATAAAAAACGCCTTTTTTGTCTTTTATGCAACACTTTACGATATCGATTTTCAAGATATTTGTTTCATTTGATAGACCTTACCAAATGCTTCAAAATAAACCCTAGGTTCTCGATTCGATTTTAAGCCGTTCTCGAGTTATGGCCCTTTAGCGATTTTTTGAATTTGAGAGTTTGAATATGGCAGACAAAATCACTCATGCGGAAAAACGCGCATAACTTTTTCGTTTATGAACGAAACATAGTCTTGTTTGGTATCAAATTGAAGGTCTTGACGAGTACATTTTACTTACGCGATCAAACCGGATGTTAAGTCACTCGTGCGTGAAATTTATTTATTCTCCCCAACCAACGGACCGATCTTATCAATACCTGTATCGAACGAAAGGTATTACTCACTAAATTCAGAAAATGTATATTTTTGTATCGCTGACTCGGATAGGACACGAGATATGAAGTAAAATCACTCAAGCGTAAAATGTGGATTGACGCCTTCCTTAGTCAACATAACCCGGTCATGTTTGGTATCGTACGAAATGTTTTAAGGTGTTCTTTATGAATACGGACTAAAAATCACTAGTGCATAAACGCTCTATTTCTATTAAACATTCTTCATTGAAAATACTGTACTTGAAATATAAACTCAACTTACTGCGTAATGATGTTTACTCTTTGACGTCCAATCACCAAATGACTGAAGTCACCACTGCGATACATTATGCGCATGCGCTGATCTAAATTTAGAAATGACATTGTCCAATCTAACAGCAGTTGGTCTTTTCTTACGGACTGAATGTTACCAATCAGACAGAAGATTTATTTGACCAATGATTTTGGTCACGTGACTATTTATAACATAAATAGATGAATAACGTCATGCCAAAAAATAGCAGCTAATCAGATTTTAATACGTGTGTATAAAAAAAAGAATGTTTTTCTGCGTATATTTTATCACTGGAAACAGGATTTGTCATCTATTAATCTCCTGCTCCTTCACCACCACCACCATTAATCTTCTGCTCCTTCACGATGACCACCACCGCCACCGCCGCCCGCCGCCGCCGCGGCCGCCGCCGCCGCCGCCACCACCACCGCCACCACACCACCAGGAACCATCACCACAACCATCTCTTACCGTTTCTGAGATAGGAGAGTTTGAAATATGGCAGACAAAATCACTCATGGCGGAAAAAAACGCGCATAACTTTTTCGTTTTATGAACGAAACATAGCCTTGTTTGGCATCAAATTGAAAGGTCTTGACGAGTACATTTTTACTTACGCGATCAAAACCGGATGTTAAGTCACTCGTGCGTGAAATTCATTTATTCTCCCCAACAACGGGACCGATCTTATCAATACCTGTATCGAACGAAAGGTATTACTCACTAAATTCAGAAAATGTATATTTTTGTATCGCTGACTCGGATAGGACACGAGATATGAAGTAAAATCACTCAAGCGTAAATGTGGATTGACGCCTTCCTTAGTCAACATAACCCCGGTCATGTTTGGTAATCGTACGAAATGTTTTAAGG